TTTGTCAGGGGGAGGCTCAGTAATCTGTGTATCATGTAGTGGAAGGCGGAATGTTTATGTTGAATAGGTTGAATAGTTGAATCTCTCATAGTATTCAAATATACCATGTGTCCTTTGCCTCATGCTTGTCCTATTTGGGAAGTTGCTATGAGTTATATCTACAAACATTCGAAGTAGTAATTCAGAATAAATACAATAATATCAAGTAATTTGGCAATACGTGATAAGGAAATACTCGCTTCCGTGTCGTGAAAAGTGTTTGCGAAGGCAAATCAGCTATAGAATTGGGGTAATATCTGCCATCGTGCCTTGTGAAAGAATCGACTTTCGCGTGAACATAGAAAATGATAATTTGAGTGACTGTGTTTCCCACTGAACTCTAGACCATAGGCATTGAAGTTACATTTGTACCCAGAATCAAAGCAAGGGTGTATCTCAAAATTTGATCAAAAGATCAAAGAAACTATGCGGGAAACCTAATTCCGATGGGGGGGGGGTCATTGATCCAGAAACCGAGACACAATATTGTTAGTGTTTTTTAGACTTTCGGAATTAGAAAGTCCAAATGGTATCTAATACAGTAAAATCTGTATAAACCGGAACCTGTGGAAGTCGGAAACCTGCCTTAACCGGAAAATTTATCCGGCCTGTGAAGTTAAATGGAATTTTGTACAGCATCAAACGGAACCCCTCCAACGTGCAAACGGACAGTTTTTCATGTCGTGGAGAAAAAAAAGCTTTTTAAATCGTATTTCATGCGAATTTAAAGAAATTGGCGGAGAGACGTGAGATGTTCTTAATGAGATGAACGCAGCTGCAAGCTTGTTTTAAATGCTCTATCCCTGTGATAGGCGATTTAGTTATGGCAGCCGGATATTGAAGAGAGGACATTCCGCACATAATCACGTTCCATGTAGCTTGGATCTGTGCGGGATTGTTGCAGTGTGTTTGCATTCAGACGTTTCACGCAATATACGTCAACGACCATCTGTCCGTCGGAAAATAAAACGTTATACATCTGAAAAGTCCACCTGTCGCCACTCTGAGGATATCCAGATATTGGCTTGCATGAACCAGGTTCCTGCTGCGGAGGTTCATACGTTCACGGAATGGATGTTGAAGAGATCCTGTTGTTTGCCCCTTGGGTCATCTGGGCGAACCGTTGCTCAACAGTTGCATGTCTATCCGCCCGTACAGAGCCGTCGTTCTGCCCTGTCATGTATGGCCCGTGGTGCACCATAGTTGTCTCGGCGACGGTTTTAGTTATCGCCATTTTGCCTTGCAGGGTTTACTTTAACGTAACTTCGGAAACGGGTCCGCTCAAGCAATTTCGGAAACGCGTCCGCTTTTGGCCCGAAATCGATGGTTTTGCCCTATTCGACGCACGATAAATCGCTCCATTTCTGCACTGCAACTACTGCACAATTTTGAGCTTTCACCCGACACACTTTACACACTCAATACTATTAGTGCTGCCACCTGTCGTCTGTGAGGTGTTATTGCAAAATTTCGTCGAACATACGCAATGGTAGCATTAATGTGTCTGGGCTGTGTATGAATATATTTTTCTTTGTCTACGAAAATTTGCAGAATTTCATATTATAACACACATTTTATGTGTGTGTGTGAACTGTTGATAACATAACTAGAATTTCGGTACGCTCTTTGGCCGTATAGCAGAATATAAATATCTGAAGAATGAAGAACTGACTGGTGAAAGTAGTGGTGCTCAACATGCCTTTTTCGTTGAAGGGTTACAAGTGTTACATCAACTCCTCTGCAGAATTGTAGTTTCATGAAGGGTGGGGTAACAGTATCTGAGCGAACCTTTTATATTTATGTTACAGTGATTTCACCATTGTTGAAATATGAATTGGAAGTATTAAAAACTGATCGAAAAAACAGTTATTTATAATTAATCACATTTCAATTATTTATCGCAATTATCACGAAATAAATTATGTATCATGTTGAGAACTGTCATCATTTTAGCAATACGTATGAAGTTTTCTCTATGAAATATGTCTTATCTATTTCAAAATGAAAGGAGAGTTGGTTAGAAAGTTAGTCAGAAAATGCTCGACTTAAGAAGTCCTGCACGTAGTGCATTGTAGGAATGTGGAGGAGTTAAATGAAAGGCATACCACATTGAATGAAATTTACATAAGAACACAAATATGCAGAGTAGTATACGCATTGAGATCCATAAATATAAATGTAAGAATAAAGAGTATGGGTAAGACAAGATGTAAGATAACTGAAACATTGAGGAATGATAACTGCAGAATTTATATAAAAACTGAATGCATTGATTAAACATCCTTGAATTGCAAATAGAAGTACATTATATAACCTCCCAACCTATTGGCAATTTTAATGTCTTGAAAACAACTGCAACAAAAACGAAACGAAACGGTAGAATAGAGAAAAGAGATAAAATTATGCTTGTGGTAAATTATATGTACATAAAATTAAGGAGATGCTATGCATGTATATCGTAAAAATGAGAATAAGATAAAAAGTACTAACAAAATAACAAAGATGAGATCATAAAATCGCGAATACATTAACCTAGCTTCTAGGATTGCAACAAACGTAATTGCTCAAAAAAACACGCACGAAACTATGAACGAGCAAAAATGTCTGATTGTAAATAACGAGCTCTAAACTGGAGAAACAGGGGAGAAGAGAGATGGAATAGGAGGAGGCAAAACAGCGTGGATTAAGCTCTGCTTGGAGATGTGCATAAGAGCGAAGGTAGAATTTACGTTACACACCACAACGGCCGGCAGGGGATTTGAACTTGCTCAAGTGGAAAGAGAGAGTGGTGGAGGAAGTGGTGTTTCTGGAAGCGGCATGTGCAACAGAAATACCAGAAATTGTAAAGACAAAAACGCAAGTGTGGAGACGAGGGCATAACTGGGAAGAAGCAGTCTATGAAGGTGAAAATAGAGAGAAATGCAATGGATGCAATAGAACTCTGCAAGGCTGAAACGGAATAAATGTAATGAATGGAACAAAATACATGTAACGCGGCTGAGATAACAGGCGGGTTGTAATGAGCATGATGAAGGAAAAGATGGCGATTTTGCTGAGGTATCTGAAGCCACAAAAGCACTAAAATAGCTCAGAAGACAAAGGCACTCAGATGGCAGAAGTGCCAAAGTCATCGAGATGGTAGAGAAGTCAGATTTACTGAGATTGCAACAGGTACAACGACACTGAGCTTGCAGAAGAGACAATTGTGGAGGAGAAAAGGCACATAGATAGCAGAGGTGATAACGGCAGGGGTATTAGAGAAACATGAAAGACAGGACATGTTCCATGAGAAAGAGTAAAAAGTGCAGAGGCGATAGAAGATGTCGAAGGCAATGAGGCCGAGAAGCAGCAAAGGTGATAGAAGTGGCAGAGAAGAGGAAACTGAGCTGGCACAGGGTCCAAATAGCGCTGATGGAGGAAGCACCGACGCAGAGGGGCCGTAGAGCAAGCGCGCGTTTGCGGTGGGCAGCGGCAGCGGCAGCCGCAAGGGCAGCGGCGAGTGGTCGGCGGGAGAGCAGAGGCAGCGAGGATGGAGGCTTGGACCGGCGAAGGGCAGGGGCGGCGAGGACGGAGGCGGGGTCCGCCAGGTGGGCAGGGGAGGCAGGGACGGCGAGCACGGAAGCGGAGTTGGGATGGTAACATGTGGATGGGACTCGGGGCCCGGGAGGTGTGCCAGGGGCGGCAATGGACAGAGGACGGGGAGGATGGAGGCGGGCGCTGCGGGTGGGCAGGGGTGGCGAGGACGGGGCGGCGAGGACGGGGCGGCGAGGAGGGGCGGCGAGGACGGGGCGGGACGCGGCGGGTGGCCGTGAGCTGGGTGGCCGTGCCAAAGGATGGAAGCGGGAGAGGAAAGAGATGGCGCAAGGTGGGGCGCGGGGTCAGAAAGGGAAGCCCAAAGTCATGCCCACAAAGGCGGGCAGAAATGTTGGACCTTTGTAGTAGCCAAACGGAGATGTGGGCAGGGTGTGGCGGGGCGGGGGAACAGGAAGAAGGTGGGCACAAGACTTGGAGAGGTTGTGGCAGGGAGAGTAGGGAAGGGGGCGGTGTGTGAGGCACTGAGCGGGGTAGGAAAGAAGCATGAGGTGGCGTGGAGAGCAGAATGTGATAGGCGGTGAGGGGTGACGATGCGGGACGAGTAGTGGGCGAGTGGGTGGGGGTGGAAAGGGTGGGTGAGGCAGGCAAGGGGCCGAGCGGGGAAGTAGTGTGTGGGTCGACGGAGGTAGCGCAAGGCGTAGTATGTGTCGGTGTGATGTGGTGGGGCGGGGCGGGTTGGGGGGGGAGGGCTCGGGGAGGAGGCGTCCACCGCTAACGGCGGCTGCCGGGGGGCATAATGCATGCGGCGCGCGAATTATAACGGGCACGTAATTTAACAAATAAAAGTGGCCCCGCCGCTCGGAGCAGCAACCGCGCCCTCGCAGCACCGGCGCGTTCCCGCAGCCACCCGCGCGCTCGGGGCGGGGAAGGGGGGGGCGGGTGGAGGGGAGTGGCGGGCAGAGCGCGAGGGGGAAACGGTGACGGCGCGTGCTCGCGCGAGGGCGTGGGGGCGGGGCGCCGCCGCGGCAGTGCGCGAAACAGCTGCCTGCGAATGTTAAGAGGGCAGAGAAGGGCGGACGAGCCGTATGGGAGCGGTGCTGTTCAAACTTTGCGACAAGTGGTTGTATTCTACTTCTTATAGTGGCATGTGTTGTGTTTCGTTTTGTATTATGTGCTTTAATGTGTTCTTCAAAACGCGATTTTTTTAGGTGAAAGGATAGGTTTCTTTAAGAATTGTTTTTGTAATGTTTTGACGCTTCTATTGAATATGATATACGCAGTAATTACGTATACATCATTGCAATATTGTATATTATGTAGTCTATGTTCCCATAGGAAGCTCACGGAACCTTAAGTTTAACTCACTTGTTTCATTGCAGTCTGTTCAGTTATTAAACAAATTAGCGGAACACACAGAACACGTAAATACATAATCTTTCTTGCTTTTTGATGTGGAGTAATAAATGAATTTTCATCAGATCGTTGAGTAAGTTATCAATCATTGGTTTGAGGTCAAACATTGCGGTTTTGAGCATGATTGTGGTCTAAATGGTAAATTGTGTTGCCAGTGGGGAGAAGTGCTCACCAGTGCAGCTCAGAACTCGGTGACGTCATGCCAAGTGGGAGGGTTGGAGTAGCAGAGAGGCGTGAGGATATAGAGGTGATAAGGGACACAATGACACGAGATGCAGGTGGGGGTTGGTGGAGGACAGGTGAATGTGATCATGTAAGCTGTCACGCGCTGAGCTGGAAACCAGATACAGGTAGTGACAGTCTATGCGCCATGAATGTGGGCCGAGGAGGTCGTGTGCATCTGCATTGAAGCCCGAATGTCAGGCTACACCGCACACGACGAACAGGGGAGAGACAGTAATTAAGGCGTATATGGAATGTTAGGGAACCATTTCCGATGTACTTCCTTTCATTCAAATCTTAATAACTATATGTCCTTTGTATGTCTTACCTCCTCGTTTATCGTGACGTGTCTGGCTGTCTTGCTCCCCCTTCCTTCTTCTAGCTCCCCCAGTGGCTTTCAGGTAGACAGGAGGGGAGACAGAGGAAGAGTGATGAGGACGTGGAAGGGCTATGTTAAGTGAGATAGGGGGAGATGAGTCTTTGTGATGAAAACCAAGAATATCGTAAAAGTCAGGATAGTCAGAAGAAAAAAAAGCCCGAAGATTGTAATGCTCATTAATAATGTATGACGCTCATATATATCAATAATATGTCACTACAAATATCAGACTCATGTCACAATTATCCAATAACTTTGATATAAATATAGGGCATTCTATTGGAAACTTGTAGAGATCGCCTGCTCCTGTCTGTTGTTTTTATGATTTCCTACAAAAAATTTGAAACCCCTGTCGAACCAGTTTCTCAGTACTGCAGCACGGGGACTATCCATTCAACAATTGTCAGCCAGTCAGCATTCATACTGGTCGTTTTTTCAATGTTCACCTTTCGCGAATGCTCATACCCTCCTGAAATACGGCATCTGGGAAACTTGCCCTATAGCTCCCAGACGTTTAGATTACAAAATAAATTCAAATAATAAGAATATTGCCTCTCCGTGATTGTTGTAAGCCTCTTTTCATTAAGCTATATATCAGGAATGAATTACTAGAGGGTGGAAACATACCTTTTCGCTGGTAGCAACAGGTACGCTAGGTCGGCACCGGATCCAGTGGGGGCATATCACCGTCACCTTCAGAGCAAAACACGCACCACACTAACGAGACGTTGACAGTTGACACGCCCGGAATCTTTAATCAATTGATAAAAAACAATCAACCAAATAGAAATCACAATGAAAGCAACAGTTTTTGCCCCATCCGGAAACCACAACGCGGGGTCTCGACGTTGAAAGCTTGCTCGCTAGACAGAAGCCACTAGGCTCCAATATTTGCAATCTTGAATCAGAATCGAAACTGTTTCATTGATTTTGTATTTTTTTCCGAGGTTCTAGAGCCAACCAAACCATAGATCACTCACATAGTCGGGAGGTGCATAGTTTCCTTTCAATTACTGAGAGCATTGGAAATAAGTACTATAGATATTCCGAGTAAATAATATATGTATATTTAATATTATTTCTGTGGAAAGAAACACATTGTTTCTGCTGAAATAAAAGTAAATATTGAGCTTCCACAACATTGCCGGAATACTAAACGGAGGCGAGAGTAGTTTAGGTGACTGTGGTACGCTGTGCCACCGCGTCGGCGATTTCCAAGTGCCTCAAAGCCACTCAGAGGCGTAAATGCGTCCGGAGAATGAAAGGAATGCAATTGTGGGGAATACCTATCGAAACTGTCCCCGATAATCAATGGCTACTGGCCTTGCAGGGGACGCGGTTTGGATCCCCGTTGACTGCACATTCTTAGGGCGATGGAAATTCCTTGGATATCTTTTCGGAATTTCGAAGGTGAATTGATGTGGAAGAATTTGTTTAATGAAAAGAGATACTCGGTTGAACGCTGGTAGATTATAATCGTTCTGATGAATGAATTTCAAATGAAATATCTATGTCAAGTATGAAAGTGAAGAAATATTTCAAATGACACGTAAAAAGTCTCTCGAACGGACAATAATGTGGTAAAGAAAAATTTGAAATTCCTTGTATTACACATGCTGGATTCAAATGTTTGTTGTTGCGAAATGTGTAGTTTGCACTGACGTATCTGGTGGTCATTACTACTTGAACAATCTCTGCAATACGTTTCAAGCTAGAGTCATTTTCGTAGCAGTGTTTTGTACAACAGGGAAGATCGAGTTATCAAAATTCTGTGAGAAAATTGTTGGCACCATTACATTGCGTTCTCCTATATTCGTGGTAGCATAAATGTTTGCTTGGCTTGCGTTAAAAAATTTCCACTGAATACATGGAGGGACGGAAGACTACTGAGAGTCAGTCAAAGAAATGCAGAAGTTTCGCCCGAGGAAGGCGTATAGTCGTAGATTAGAGTTTAGTGCCAAACTTTAAAAAAATGCAAATGTGTTAACAATATTTTATATTAAGTGTACTAATTTGGTTATAAAATTATTGATGTAATTGGGAGTTAAACGTGGTTTCATCATTCACCAGCACAATGACAACAATCGTTATCCTCTTTGTCTTCGCCGGGCAGCACTGCCATACAAATCGATTCTCCGTCTGACATACCAGTTTTTGTGCTGAAGATCACGAAGAAATGTGGATAAATCAATACAGAAACATATAGATATAAGGCTATATAGCTTATCATTCCGTCCTCAAAAAAGAGTGAAGATAAGATAAGGTAGGAAGTATTGCATGTGGTCGGTGAGTTCGTAAAACAATGATCTTGTATTCCAATTGTTCTAAAAAACAAAAAGTTGCTTAAAGTAAAATGCAATCCTTTATCAAGGAAAGTAAAAATACGAGGAAAGTTCAGGGCATATACTTACCGTTAAAGTATACACTGTCTACTGACGTGACAAGCAGTGAACTGAAGTGATGTGAGGTAAAGTAAAGAAATGGATAAGGAGTAGAGATCGGCGGTTTATATGTACTATTTATTTTTGTTTATTTGTATTATTTATCATTTTCAATATTTTAATGAATAATAATAAATATTTAATTTGCTTAACTGCCACCGAACGTACGTTCATTTGCAGAAGAAAAAATTATTAAACTGGCTATTCACCATATCCATGCAAGTATTTCGTGGAACGATTACAATGGAAAATCGTCAAACATTTCACACACATTTTTAAATTGGTGATTAAAATATGTGTTCCACTAAAAACCTGACAACGGATGGAAAATTCTCGATCACATTATTCAGGTCTTCGTTGAACAAAGTT